TTAAAATTTTTTAATATAAATTCTTTAATATGTATTTATTAACTATACTATTCATATTAATTATCTTAACTATATTAATTATATTAGCTATATTAATTATATTAAATATTAGTTATTTTAGTCACATTAGTCATATTAGTTACACTAGCTATACTAGTTATACTAAGTTTAACAAATACTCAACAAATATTTAATTATATAATATTAAATAAAAATTATTTAAAATTTCATTATATATTTTTTATCTTTAATTTTTATATAAAAATTAGTAATTAAAAATCTAAACTAAAAAATTTAGATTATGCAAATCTAAATTTTATAAAAATTTTCTGGTTATTTTTACAACATACTGATATGTTGCAAAAATAACTGTAATCGAATATCATGTGATAACAGCATAGTGTTTTATTCAAATTACATAAAATTTATATCATTAATAGTACTTAACTAGAAGTTTATTTATTTAAAAAAAATCTCTCCTAATAAGATATACATTCATCATTTAGTTCAATTATAAGCTTACATTGTTCTCTCATTGTAGTAACTAAATTCTTCAAAAATAAGATTGGAATTTTATTCTATTCTTCAATCATAAAATATTCTAATTCTTTAAGAGTTTTTGACATATGCTTCTTAATATTTTCTTTAATAATACTTTACAAATTTTTAATTGAATTGAGATTAGGACTATTGGATGGCCAATCAAGAAAAACAAAAACATTTTTTTTAAGAAAGTCTTAAGTATAATCACTCTGATGCTTAGAATTATTGTTCTGCTGTTACTGACACCTAGTACCAAGCATTTTTCTTACCTTTAGAATACAGTTACTAATTATTTTCATATAAAATTTAACATTTATAATTCTTTTAAAACAAAACAAACTTGCTTTATCTCTAATCCAAAATCTATCCCAGGTCAAGATTTTGATCAATCCTTTGAAATTCTCCTAACTGGTTGGGTTCCTTTATATCACTACTTTCTCATATTATGAAAAAGCCTAAAGTTAGTTTTATCTGTAAAAAAGATATGATTCCAATTATCATTTATATATTTGTTGATCCATTTCACTTATGCTAGTTTATGTTTTTCAGTAAACATAGGGTTGCTTGTAAAACACTACTAGAATATCCAGTGCTGACTAAATACCTTGAAACTGTATTATAAGATATGTTTACATTTATTTTAGTCAGTTTATTGATCATTTCTCTGGTAGTAATTATAAGATTACTTTTAATATATTATGCAAATGCATGGAAGACATGTTTGATGATTTTTTTGGGTCGACCATTGCCTTTTGTATGGGCTATGGTTCCAATTTTTTTGTGTTTTTTTATATTTTTATAAATTGTAGAAAGGGGGATGTTAGTTCGCTTGTGTATTTTCTTTGCATCACATATTCCTTCATTCCACAGGTACAAAATAGCTATGTGCTTGTTTTTTTTCTATAAATTAGACATATTTTTGGATGGTTAAATGAACATCTAGCCCAAAAAATATAATAGTCACAAAAGTGTTCAGTATTAGCCACATGTCTTGTGATTGGTTTGTGCATAAATATTTGTAATCAAAATCTAATCTAAATTTGTTAGATCATAAGGGATCAATCACATGCCATTCGATTTCAATAATTTTTGCAACATACTGTATGTGTGTGTATTGAAATCAGGTGATACAGCGAGTCAGTCACTTCACAATCCAAAATCTCATGTAACCTATGGTTGGCTTAGTCGAAAATAGGCATTTAGATTTGGTCGGTGGTTTGGGTCCATAGGTGAGTATTTCTTCATTACTTGTCTTGCGTTTTCCTTCTCTTGAACTTACTAACTCTATTCTTCAATTACCTCACTATGTCAGGTAAGTGGACGACACGTATAACCACACTATCCTCAGTCCTTCGGGATAGTGGAATGATACTACCATGGCTGATCCTGGTACTTGAGGATACAACAGCCGGATGGGGTTTTTACAATATTACGGGTTAGAACAGATAAATGCAAGAAGCGGGTTTTTATGGTCTGTGATTTAGCGATTAGTTAATGTATTAAAGGAGACGTTTATGTATTTATTATGATGTAAGGGACCAGTTATTATTTTAATAAAGCAAAGTATGGGTTCTCTCCCTTTCTCCATGGCCTTTACGGCCTTTATTTATCTTAAAATTCTTTATTTACATTTGTCATTCTACGTCTGCTACAACTACTACAACTACTACGTCTACTACTTCGTTCCCAACTTATACTTATCTGACATGGCCTTTGTGCCCTACGTAGCCGAAATAGCCTAAGTGGGTCGGGTTACCCTAATTTGGAGTAGCCGTAGTCACGTGCCACGTGACTTCCCCGGATAACAGTATAAATACTTAAATAAAGTTTAAAATAACGTTAAAATAACGTTTAAAATAACGTTTAAAATAGTGATCTAAACACATTCAACTGATTTCTATCGTTCACTCTAGATTATAACCACAAACAATTACGATGTAGGATTTAGTTTTAGGTAAATCAGATGAATTTTAATAAGTCAATACGTGATAAGTGTACTATCTTCTGATAGACCTAAGGAAATCAAAGCTCTATCAAGTAATGCTCAGAGAAAAATCCCCGAATACCACTTTCATCTGTCCCACAATCCCTGCAATTGTATACTCCTGACCTTCTGACTTTTTGAATGTTGCCACTCTAAGTTTTATAATCTTCACTTTGAACATATAATTGATTCGCATACAAATTCTAATTATCGGCAACAAATTCGAGTACTGTGATCTTTCTCAATATACGGTTATCTTGCGTTAAATTAATAAACAATGAATATTATCGCTTTTCCAATGAATTCCAATTTGATATACATTTAATAAATATGTCTACAAACCCAAATCATAAATGTCCGACAATTGCATTGTCAGATAATTCTTCTAATATCGTATACATAAATGCTTCTTAATAGAGGATGTGTGAAGTCCCAGGATCAATTTAAGTTGTAAAATATACAAGAATTAGCGATATTTTAATTTTTTTGGATAATGATATAATTATTAAAATTGTAAATAGTCCTTACAGCAGTTTTTGTACGTACCCACTTTTTAAAATTGGTAATATGTGTCAGAGTATTCGAACAACAATTCAGTCTCTTCGAATCCACTTGGATGTCAAAGTAGAATTTCTGCATAATAAATCAGGAAAATGTTCATAATGAACAGATGAGAACAAATAAAAACGGAAGTTATATTCGATATGATAAATAAGATCATAAATATCATTATTAAATACATGACCAAATCCTTTTTTTCTTATTGTATCGTGATATGTGGCATTAACATCTTCCTTATACAAATCTTGCTTGACGTGCACCCCGTTGGTGTTTCTTTCTTGATCTGCGTTTGTAAGTTCTAAAAGCCTTTATGGATTGTGTAAATCTTAAGTTTCCTTCTAATACTATCTTCTGGGTGAGCAGCATAAAGTAATATCCAGTAAACACATAACCTCTTAAGTAAATGGTATTTAGCATAACGAGAGTTTCGTAAGGTATTCCTGGAAAGAACAGTCGCTTTTATATGAGGCTTATCCACAGAATATAACAAAAGCTATATCCAAGATTCACGATTATCACAGATGGTAATGGAATTAAAATTAATTCAATCAATAACAACGTTTCTTACTTATATTCGGAAATAAAAACCATGTTGATCAAAAAATATAGATTAAATGATGTCGAAGACAAACCGAAAAAGTTGACCAGGTGGGAAACTTCCGCTTCTGAGGCGTCAGAAATCAAGAGTTGTTGTTTTGATCGATAAAGTTCCTTTCTTTTTTTTTTTTTTTTTTGAATGTAAACGTTTGAATTAATAAATAAAATAATTAGATTTGTAATGTATTGCTAAAACATAAATGACTAGTATATATCGTCGATGACAAAAAAAAGTTAAAATTGGGAATGTATCAATACTGTATGTTCGTTGCATTATTTGATTACGAAAAAAGGTCTTGCCGAAGAGAATTAACATATTGTAATAGTTCCAGTTAATTAAAGCGCAAGAGTATAAAATACAATACATTACTAGATTCGTTAAAATTAAAATAAAAAATCAAGCATCTCGTTAGATTGTGCATAAAGTTGCTATTTTATTAAAAAGCGTTGATAAAGCTTTTTTTTTTAGCTTTAAAACCACACCCATAAACACCCGCTATAATTGATAATACTAAAAAAAGGGGAAGTTAGTAGAAATTCTACTAACTTCCCCCGAAAAAAAAAGCGGACAGAACTGGTCTGCTTAACAATATGACGAACTTAATGTTCGCCCAAAACTCTGGGTAGAGTACATTATTTAAACGAACAATAAATGCCTAGACATTGTTCAGCTACTGTAGAGGCCTAACGGCGAGTGCCGAAACACTACCGGTCTGCTTATAGCCGAACAACCAGGACAAACTTATTGCCCGCCCAGAATTTTGGGTAGAGCACATTATTTAGCCGAACAATAAACATCTGTATTGCCGAGGCCTAACAGTGCCTGCCCAAGAAACGATACTGACCCAATATTGAGTTGTAGGTATTTATATAAAAAATTTCTAAAACATGAGAAATGTGGGATTTCGCGTAAAACAAAACGCGAAAATCTGATTGGATTGGATCATGTGTAAAATCCATCACATGAGACATAATTACAGAATTATGACGACACGTTTCACAAATCACACTCATTCAATTGTCCGGATAACTTTTACGAATCACCACTTTAACAAAGTGATGCAAAAAAAAAAAAAATCAAAATAAGATCAAGCACCTGACGAATTTTTCTTAGAAGACAAAAATATGTTTACCGCCCATTGGACTATACAATTTACTACGTATAAATAACGTAGACAGTCAACTGATAACCTACATACCAAGTTATATTTATATATATCTAGTTATTTTGTGTTATATCCAACTTTATATAATCTTTATATAACCAGGTAAATACGTGCTTTCGAATCTCTCAATGCTAGTCCACTGTGCATATCGGTTTTAAGAAGTTCAGAGGTATACTATTTTAATATCCAAAAAATGCATCACCATAATGAAAATTAATTCTAAAAATATCTTAATAATGAACTTTATTTGAAAATTTAATCTATATACAGTCGTTATTAAATACCGTGATCATCAAAATTCCAGTGATTTGTGACATAATCCACGCATAATCTTCTTTTTTCGTATCAGTGTCCATAAAAATTAAGACGTTCAAAATCCCCACTTTTACCGAACATGAACTATCTTCTTTTGGGATGACGTAAGCGTAATAAGTAACTTTAGTACCTCAATTACTACCGATTCTGAAATCTATACATTTTTTCTGATCGAAATTGGTTAACAACAGAAATAAATAAGTAATAAATGAATATGGTTTCTCCACTCCAAACAACTTTGTCAAGCTTCATAATCTGATTTCCATGACAATTTATGTCAACAATTATAGCTTAAAAAAGGTAACTGTCATTTCATTTATTAAATTATCATCACCTCTGGACAAAATATAAGCTCTAATAAATTTTCTTATAGCTTTAAAACCAATTTTACCCAAATGCTTATTGGTGAATATTATCAGTGATGTGAAAAACTTTCTAAGAAAACTTTAAACACTAACTTTTCATACACGACCCATTCACAAAAATAAAGCACTTACTGTCGGTTAAATACCGTCTTTATAATATGGTAGAATTCAATCAGTTGTTACTTTTACCATGAAGGTGCATATAATGAAGATAATGAGGTATTGGTAACGAAACCTATCGTTATTTATAACATAATTGTAAATATCTTCTATACGCACACAGATTAATTGTGCAGTAAGAGTTCCATCATATTATTACCGTGAATTAAAAATGCGTTATTATTACCTGCGAATCAGCAATAATGACAGTTTATACTTCCATACAATATATCTATATATATTATTTTTTAAAGTTTGTTTATTGATCATGAGGTTTTTTTATCCTCCATTCGGCAACTTTTTTTGGCAAAATAGTCATAAAGATATGGGATGCATTAAAATCAAATGAAATACGAACAAAAAAAGAAATTTAAAGACCTGAATTAATCCGAACTCAAAGTTCGGGAAATAAGCATTATGAAAAGTATATATAAGAACCATGAAATAAATAAATCTATATTCCAAATTACAAAATTATAGAAATAATGTCAGGAAACCCATTTTTAAAATATTTTTTCTTCATACCACGTTTACTTCCTACTGTATCAGCAAGCTTACAACTTTCTGATATGTTTAACTTTGAAATAATCGATTACATACCTTATATTGTAGTCACTGTAATTATTTTAATCCTCATAATCTCAGAATTAATTCTAGAAATTCAGAGTCCAGTATATGCAATCTGGATAAATCGCATAACTTATTCTATCTATTTTACCTTAATAATATTCCTATTCTTCTTTTTTCCGCCTATATTCTCTTATGCGACGAAAGGCTTTAATGGCATAACTTTAGCATGGTTTACTAGCTCATTAATCGGAATTTCATTAATAGTATTATTATTAAGAAATTTCTATAATAGATAATATTATATTTGTTTAGGTGTAATACCGTCGTTAGTTCTCGAAGTTTTTTTTTTACGTTATTCGCTCTAATAGATGATTTCGATATTAAAATTTGTGTTCCGTTCATAGTAATAAATTTTTTATTAGTTATTTTGACGATTCCTCTTTTATGTACTAATAAAGGAACGTTAATGATTTTGTTGGAATAGAACATTGCCTACTATATTATTGTTTTTTAAAAGTAAACAAAATTTCACTTTTATTGTTTTGGACAAATTTGTGGATGATATTAACTACTATCAGTAAATTATTTATACCTAAATTTAAACTAGTTTTTATAAGCGATTATCCAAGAGACTATCCAGGAGTAGATAATGTGGTAAGCAAGAACCCGTATTAAAAGCGGATGGTAAAAGAAAAGGAGGAAATTGACAAATTTTTTAAAATTCATTTTTTTATATAAATTAATTTGAAATACAATCAGGGTCATTTTTTACTTAAAACTATAATGTATTGTTGGGTTCAGAAGATTGCGACTCTGTCACTCCACAATTTGTTGATTTCAAAAATTGTTAAAAAAAGTTTTATTAATAGGTCTAAGTGCAGTTCAATCATGAAAATAAGATTGAACATATTGATTAATAAATAATGGATCAGTAATAAGTTAATTAGGCAATTTTATATTTAAGAGATAAACAGATTGGTGATAGTAATTAAGAATGCTATTAATAGCCTGAGTAGAATGTGTTATAAGAGTTATATATCTTTTATCAATCGCTTGATTAATTTGTTGTCAAAGTAAAAGAGAGTTTTTAAGATAACAAGCATGATAAAGTTGTTTTCAAGTGAACTAAATATGTTAAAGCCATGATTGAATACAAGAAAGGTTGATGAAAGTAAATAATTAAAGATCACATTGTAACTGTTTGTTAATTTGAGAGATGTTTTGATTAATACTTAAAATGTTAGAGAATTGTATAAGTTTTTTTAATAAGTTTAATGATATAGTTAAGTTTTTTAAGAGAGAGATGCAATAAAGTACTATATGATAAATATTGATAATTATAATTATATTTGTAAGAAATTTTGTTAAAGATAATATGAGTAGCATTATAGATTATAGAGCATTGGATTTTGTGCCAAATAGTTTTAATACTTTCACTAGTTATATTATTAATAGAAGTTTTATGTAATAAAAGTTGTTAAAATAAAATATTAGAAAAAGAGTTTTAGTCTTCTGTAGTTATTATTTTATAATTAAATATATAATAATTGATCCTTATATACTTGCATATAGGTTTATTATAGGCATATAAAAATATTCAAGTAAAAAAAAAAAATCAAGTATTATTTAAAAAAAGGTTTTGCTATTATTAAGACTATAGAAAAAAAGAAATTATATATTAAATTGATTAGTTCAGATATAGTTAATACAGCTGCTGCTAATATTGTTAAACTAAATAAAGTGTTTGTTATTAAAGTAGACTTTAATGTTATACATATTGGAGTAATTAAGAAAATTAATGAGTTTGTATTTAGAAAAAGAACTATAAATATAATTCTATATAATGAAATTATTAAGAATAATAGGATAAAGAAGAAATTAAGTAGCTTATTAAATTTAGTTGATTATTGTGTTTTGAATTTGGTTATAAATAAAGTGTCAGTAGATAAAAGATATTCTAAAATAATACAGAACTTAACACTATTTTAAAAAAAATATTAAGTACTATAGTACCTTTTAGATAAGTATAAATATTATAAATGTGAGGTTTAAAATGAGTACAAATTATAATGATTGTTTTTTTTATAGAATTAGAAGAGTTAGACCAATAATAAATAAAAGATTATTGTTATAAAAAAAAAATATTATTATTAAAATTTTTTGTTTCAGTAATGCTAGCAATAAATATGGCATTATTAAGAAAATAGTCTTGCTAGGCTTTTTTTTATTAGTTTATTAAAGCTTTTAACATTATATGCAGCAATGATTAAGTTAAGATAATAGAAGCTTGAATTAGAAAAAGATAAAAAAGAGCTGTGATTAGAAAGAGTTAAAGAATAATTGTTAAGAAATGAATCAAATAGAATAAGAATAAAGTTGAAAAAATTGGATTTAAATGAAAGATTATAAAATAAGAAAAGATGATAAAAAAAAATAATAATGTAATCAGAGCTATTATTAAGATAAATGTAAGTTTTATAATAGAATAAGTTAACAAAAAATGTACTACTGGATACAGTTTTATTATTACTATGTTAATCAATATGTTGAATTAAGATTTGAATAGTTTAATAATAAGAGAAAAGTAGTAAATTATAATAAAGAAAAATTTGATAAAACATATATAAAGATAATAGAAAATTAATAATATTGAAGATAATATTGCAAGATTGCTTTCTACAGAGTTGATTACTATATGCTTAGCTTTTATAACTGTATAAGATACTATAGTTTGCTCTGTATATTGGATTTGACTGTTATTATCCTGCCTTTTATATTAATTACAAGTTGTTCTGAAGTTTTTGAAATCTAATATGAAAACTTATTCTCAAAAAATTAGAAGAATTAAGTAATATTGCATTTTATTATAAGAAAAAGGGAGGATTAATCACAATGTGTGATGTTTTAATAAAGTTTGTAATATTATATTATAATTGAATATTCTATATATTATAGATATTGTATAGCTAAAAATAAAATATATGTTAGTAGAAATTATATAACTGAGTTTGGCTTTGTTTTTTACAAGTTTTATATAACTTGTGAAAATTTTGTTACATGTATTTAGTTAAAAACAATGTTATTAGACAATATTCTATTATAGAGATTATGACAGTATTAATAATATAATATACATATATATTAGTAATTTGTTTAATGTATACAATTTTAATAAGATATGATAATTTAGTTAAATAGAATTAGTTTGTTTGGTTTGTGTATTGTTGACTATAAACTAGTATTTATGAAATTAAAATAGTTTGTTTAATGAATAATGATTAAAAAGTTAGTTATTATATATAATAGGAGTATAGCTAGTTTGTTTGTTATTAGTTGCAAATACAAATTTAGAAAAGTTAATTTATATATTTGTTATATTAAAAAATGATTCAGTTGTAGAAAAAAGTTGTAATAGTTTTTGTTATAAAGATGCAATTCAAAAACTATTATTTATATAAGCAAAAATTAAGCAATATAAGTTAAGCTTGTTGTATATTTGATAACTAAAATTAGTTAGCCAAGAAACTTGTATAATCTTTGAAGTTGTTATGAATATATAAAATAAGTAAATTATAGTAAATTCTTCATAAATAAGAAGAAATAGTTTTATTCTAATCAATGCTATTAAGTACAAGATATGATAAAATAAGACTAAGATTTGTAATAATTTAATTTTATAAATTAGTAAGTATATTAATAATAGTATTAATAATAAAATAAAAAGAATAAATCATATAAGGATAGGGTTCTGTAGTCTAGTAGTCTAGGTGCCCCTCTCTTCACAAACAAGGTCAATGATTCAATTCCAGCTAGAGGCAAAACTTTGTAATCTACAGAAGCATATGAATGTACATGAAGCCATTGGCTAAGTCTATATAATTAGAAGATCAGTATATAAGAAAGTTCTCAAAAAGAAGTTTCTCAATATAGAGAGTTGGTGCTTGATATGAGAGAAGCAGTAAACATACCAGAAATAGAGAGAAGGTGCACTAGTGGGTGATATGGTAAATATAAAAGAAAACTATAGAAAAGGAATAAACTTACTGAAATTCAAACACTTTTGGCATTAAACCAGTTCTAGTAGATATAGGATCTACTAAAATTGAATAAATCTAAGAGATAATCTTAATATCATACTTAGTAAGTTTGTGTCAAGGGTAAATTCAAAAGAACTATAGATACTTAGTAACATCCAATAAGGTGGTACTAAGATATAAATAGTAATTAGATAGTCTTAACTTGTTCTGTTAAGATACTTAGTAATATATATTGTATATATATGCAGTAAGAGTTAAAAATCAGAAAGTTTAAATAAGGGACTCACAGGTGGGTTTTAGGTATAGCATCTAGTAGGTAACCTATAGGCAGAACCCTTAATTAAATAATAACTAAAGTTATATATGTGACTAGTTGTACTTTCATTGATATATCTTATATATAATATATAATCTTATATAGCTAATAATAAAAGGACACACAGGCAAGATCATCCTTAAAAAAAAAAAAAAAAAAAGAATAAATCATTGTAAAGACTTTTAAAAAAAAATAAGATTAACAGAGCTGTATGCTTAGTTCATATTTTGTTATAAAAGCTAAATTGATTTATAATTGTATAATATATTTTTAATAAAATTATTAAGTATATAAATTGATATAGATATGCTATTATTAGACAAAGTAACATAATTGTATAATAAAAAAATAGAGTATTAAGAAAACATAGTACTAATTTTAGTAGTAATAATTTTTGTATAGACTTTTCAAATATGTTCAATAAGACTTATAAAAATGACATTAAATAAGTTTGTATAAATTTAAAAAGAATATAAATTTATAATTGAGTTATATTAAAAATAGATCATATAATATAGATTAGTAATCTTGTTTGGGTAGGTTTGGACAAGAATAGGCTAGAAAAAAACTTCAAAAAA